TTATCAGATGATAGTAATAGTGGATATCCTTTACCAACATGAGGTTTGGAGACACTGACTCTCCCTTTTTATGCAGCTGAAAATCTACTTATAACTTTTGACTCCCCCAAAATTTAACTACTCATAGCTACTGTTGACCAGAAGCCTCACCCATAACATAAACAGTTGATTAACACAGATTCTGTATATGTATTACGTACTATGTTCTCACAGCAAAGTAAACTAGAGAAAAGAAAATATTAAGAAAATCATAAGGAAGAGAAAATACACTTACAGTATGTACCGAAATAAAACCCCATATTTATTTAAAAAAAAAAAAAAGACAAACACAGTTCAAACCCAAGCTGTTCAAGGATCAACTGTATAAAAGTGTATAATACTAGAAATAGTACTATAATCATAGTTAATACTTAACAGAGTACTTAGTACTGACACATAGTAAGCACTCAACAGAAGTTAGGTAGTGTTCTAGGGGTAGCTGGGTGGTTCAGTTGGGTAAGCATCTGACTTCAGCTCAGGTCATGATCCCAGGGTCCTGGGATGGAGGCCCACGTCGGGCTCCCCACTGAACAAGGAGTCTGCTTCTCCCTCTGCCTTCCCTGCCCCCCTCTTGTGCTCACTCTCTCGCTCTCAAATAAATAAATAAAATTTTAAAAAAACCCAAAAAACAGGTAGGTAGTGTTCTTATCACTCCGAGGCATGTTGCCAGGACCATGAGACACCACCACAGAAGGAACTGTTGAAAGAAATGAGGATTTTTTTAACCTGGAAAAGACAAGACTCCAGGACATGATCGCTGTCTTCAGATACGGTAAGGACAATCCTTCAGGAACATAACGAGGTTCACTTTGCATGTTTCCAAGGCGAAGGACTACAGCTCTGGACCGAAGCAGCAGGAGAGACAAACAGCCCTTCCAAAATGAAATGAGCCGCCTCTGGATGGAGCACTCACTCACGGTCACCAGCACCCACTGTGGACTTCAAGCTCCGCCCTGAGGACCGTTGCTCAAGGACAACCTTTAAGACCTCCTAAATGTGAGACCCTGTTCTTCAAAGTCAAAGGCTGCATTGCTGACAGGGAGCAGATACAGCACGTCCTTTCCCAGAGTGGAAAGTGATGCGTTGGCACTTAACATCCCAAGGTAAATGCTGAAATCATCGAGTTTTGCTGGGATCCTTCATACGCTGGGTGAAAGCTACTCTCTTGGTCAAAATTTGCGAAAGAAGGGACACCAGCACAAAACCTCTCCTCGGAAGTGGGGAGAATGGGGGAAGTCTGCCTGAGACTCAAAAAGAGAATTCTGGGGTGGGGGGGTGGGGGGGTGGGGGGAGCTAGAGCCAGGATTGAAAATGAGAGCAAGGGAAGCAGGCGGGCAGACACAGGGCAGGCAAAGGCAGGTGAAAGCTGCCGCCCGCAGGTGGTGGGACCGAGCGGGTATGGACCACATGTTGAATCAGGGATAAACTTTGGAACGGACTATAACCAGGAATGAGAAGTCTGGCATTTTGTAGTTTCTGAAGAATTCCTCCTAAATTCCCTTTCCTTTCAGTAAACACAAGGAAAAACCACAGCCCGCTGTGTGTGTGGTCTCCATGGCACACAAAAGTGAAGGTCAACGCCAGGACAGGGCAGGAGAAACCCAGAGGCCACCGGTGTCCCAGGTTCCCAGAGGAGAGAGGCAGCCTGCCCTCTACTGGTTTCCCAGGGGCACTGCAACACCGAGGCTCTGAGGCGGAGCCCCAGCCGGTGATGGGCATCTCAAAGCAAGGAAAACATTTGTGAATAGCAAGCTTCTTGGCTAGCTGCAAACAAGACAATGCCTTTCTCTACCTGGACATTTTATTAGGGAAGGGAACACAAGAAGCCAAAATTATCTTCACAGCCAACTAGACACTTTGCAGAAAAATATTTTAAAACAATTGGTAAAACTGGGTGGGAATCGGAACGCCTGGGTGGCGCAGTCGGTTAAGTGTCGGCCTTTGGCTCAGGTCATGATCCCAGGGTCCTGGGTTCAAGCCTTGCATTGGGCTCCTTGCTCAGCGGGGGAGCCTGCTTCTCCCTCTGCCTCTGCCGCTCCCCCTGCTTGTGCGTGCACACCCTCTCTTACAAATAAATAAATAAAATCTTAAAAAAAAAAACTATATCAGAATTTTCATCCTAATGACAAACCTCTTTCATCTGCCCGGTGACCGGACGTTTGCAAAAACACTTTGACATTTGTTGTCTCATCAAGTCCCTATGAAGAACTGTTTTCCTCCTTTGCAGAGGAATGCAGTCCATAGGCATCCCCAAAGGGTCCACTGCACAACTAAGGTCCAACATCAACTCCTGGTTTGTCTTTCTACCTTGTCGCCATTTTACCATCCAACCCAAAGACCCCAGGAACAACCCAGTAAATCACTCCGATTCACAGTGGTTCCTGTGGTTCCTGTCTCAGTAAGCACAGAACCTCTTCATGGACTGGAAGCCAAGGTCTCAAGCCATTTACTCCCCTGGCAAGGAACCCATATTAGGAAGAAGAAACGAAACCAAGGCCTTTGGTATTTATGGATTATTCATGGGCGCCTGCACGCGACCCACACCATCCCTCTCTTTATGGCATTACTGGAGAGTTCATAAAAGAAGCAGGCTTTTCTTCTCAGCAGAGCTACGTGTTGTGCAATTACAATATAATAAAGGGAAGCTTGTCTGCAATTTTTCCTGGTCCCCATAAGTTAAACTTTTGACACCAAAGTCACCCTGCCATTTGAACCAGGGAAGCCAGGCTGGGAGTTGGTAAGACAATAAGGTCAGTAGCAGATCAAGTAAAGCCTTCTTGTCTTAGCCCAGCAGAGGTGGTGAGCCCCTTAGCACCTTGTCAAACACTAAATTTAATCCGTTTTATTTTTGAATCGCTTTTTAAAAATACACTAACCATTAAGCAATGGGGGGAAAGGTCCTTTTAAAATGATTTATTATGTGTTAACAGCTAAAGAAAATCTAAACAATGTCTCCATAAAGACCCACGATCACGTTTTTAATTAAGAGCCACAACTTTTAATGGAAGGCATAATATGCCCATTCATTTCAGGGTACCGGCCGCGGTTCGGTAATCCCGCAGTCAGGCTCAGGGGAGAATAACAGCTTTTGATCACACCTCAAAGTCTTCTGTTAAAGAAAATAACAATAAAGTGAGATCCCTTTAAAACTGAAGTTTGAGAATTTCAACCCAGAGAAAGGACACATTTTGTTTCATTACAGGGGTGCTTGTTACTGTGTCTACGTCTACAATAGCACTATGTCTACGTCAGTGCTCTGAGGAACTCAGACACCTCCTAAGTTTTAATATGCAACTAGGTCGTTCTAAGTGTGCCCTGTGTGTGTGTGTGTGTGTGTGTGTGTGTGTGTGTGTGTGTGTCCTGGTAAATTCCTGCTCATACTCTGGGGAGGCTGTGCCCTCTGAGAAACAAATCATTACTGTCTCTCTCAAATTGGTCCCTAAAAGCATTTAGCATTTCCTTCTCTTTAAGACCAACATCTCATGATCTAGAACAGAGCTATGTCCATTTGCACGGTCTCGCAAGGAAATATTCATAGTAACACCCAGCCTTTAGTGGCTGTTTCCCATGTGCCAGGTTCTGCAGGCTCTGTGCCAGGGCTGGATAGCAGCATCTCACTCGATCCTAGCAATAATGAAGTGAAAGTCTTATTATCCCCATTTGCAGACCAGAAGCTTGGAGAGGAGGAGAAAGTTGCTCCGGTCCCTAAGTAGCACCACATACCATGGGCTGCAGAAGGGTGGGAGTGGGGTGGACTAACCTATTAGACCCAGTTCTCCCCCTCAAAGAGTTTTAGGTCTTGTTGGGAAGGGAGGACTTAACCACAGAAAAACACAACTAGCCCAACAGGACCCCAGCGGTAAGAACCCACTGAGAGCAAAGGGGACACGTATTAGTGCTGAAGAAGTTCACAGAGGGAACACCTCCTCTGGGGTTTCAGATACAGGGGATTCCATCTTGACCTTTAAGGACCCACAGAGTTTCCAAAACAGCGAGAGAGTGTGGAGGAGGTGAAAGACAAAGGTAAATCCTGTAAGCCTGTGTTCACCTAATTTGGTTCTCTGTGCCACCTTCAAGATTTATGCTCCATTCCCATGACACCTGGATACCCCAAAGCACTACATTCCTGCCTAGACACTCTATTATCATTTCTCAATATTTTTCTTAAAACATATTACCTTTTT